GTACCATCTACCTTTGCCTTGACCAGTCTGTAACCCAGCATCTGAATTTGTTAGGAATTGATGCCATCAAATTCTCACACAGGATAGCTTAGAGTGGGGTTATAAAGTTTATGAGAGGAAAAATGGTTTTCTCGAAAGAAGGAATTTGGAAATATTCCTGTTAACTCATCCTGCCATGTTTGCAAATGTCTTATCCCACCACTGAGGGGAGGCAAGAAGTGCATTAGCAGTAAATCCATATGACAGGATGTATAGTGGGAGCCAGCCTTGACTTCATACCTGCTGCAATCATGTCTGTGCAGTCAAGGGAAACGGAACTTTTTCCTTCTTCCTTGAATTCTAGGGCGTGGAGGAATTATTTCCTAGAGTGTGAGGGCAGCTTTGCTGGAACTCTTGGTGTTGCAGCACTTCAAATAAGCAATCCCTTTAGTTAGAGATCCTTATTTCAACAGCCCACTAAGGATTTGGGGCCTGCACCTACCTCTCTTCTTGCTTGGTTCAGAACAGAGGGAGAAAGAAAATAAAGACAAACAGATGAGGCAAGCAAGAGAGAGACAGAAGGACATTTTTACTGTGATGCTGTATTGATGATGAATGGATTCTCCATTCCAAGCTTGACTTGTAGATTTGTGTTATCTCTTCCTCCACCTGCACGGTTCTGCACCACAGGCATGGATCTAACCTTGCCATCTGAGCAGAGCTGGGGAGTTATTCCAACCAAATGCCTTCAGAAGGGAAAAGGGAGCTTGTGGCACTGGCCAGGGGTTGCAGACAGCACAGAGGTCCTGTGAAGGTTCTGGTTTATTCCCTGAGAGCACATCTCCTCAGCTCCTGCTGTTTCTGACCCGTGGCCATCCATTCCGCTGCTGGGGTGAGCTCAGCAGAGAATAGGCAGGTCCCTCCTGGCATCACAGGGGAATGATTAGTTGTCAGAAGGATATGGGGAAAACATATTTCAAAACAAGTTTTTAAGAGTTTGGAAAAGACTGAAGTCTCCAAAATACTCAGAGGAACATTGTCGGAATCTGAGGTATTGATGATTCCCAGATTGTAGCAAGTCTCTGTCTGTCAGCCCCGCTGCCAAAGCAGAAGCCATAATTGGTCTGTGCTGGTTTCCAGGTTGTTTATTCTGTTGATCTCTCACATGTTCTGCTGCCCTGCCCAGCTCTGTCCTGCAGGGCAGCGTGTGGGGCTCTGCCCTCAGTGGGATGTGACAAACATTCAATACCAGAAACTCCCTGGGCTGGATTTACAAGAACGTGCCAATATCTGTCACCTACGTTGGACAGTGTGTCCCCAGCCTGAACCAACAGAAAAATGCCAATACCACAGTGAAACATGGAGGGCATGAAGAAGGAGAAAAAGGACAAGACACACCCAATTTCCTCCATCTCGTCCCCTTTGGACCCCTCATCTAGAATCCTAAAATTTTACTTTTGCACCTGTGCCACACTGAATTATTATTTATATCAAACACTCAGAGCTTGTAATTCACCCTGTAAGATTGAAAACTCTTTTCCATGGACAGAGATCACAGCCAGTGTCTCTGAGGCTCTGTCCAGGGGGGTTCCTGAGCCCTGCCAGGGTCCCAGACCTGCCAGGGCAGCCAGAGGGAAGCCCTGGATTCCCACAGAACATCCTGTTCCTTTGAGCTCAGAAGAGAGGGATTTCTCTGTAGGTGGGGAGTGATTTTCTGAGCACACTTCTGGAAACCTTGGGGGAGCAATGAAAAACAAACAGCATTTTCACAACAACTTTTCAAAACATCAGAGATGCTGAATGGTGGATGTAGAGGTGAGAACATCAACGTGGCACCAGTGAGGTGGGTAAAAAGTTGGGTTTTTTTATACAGATATTTCTTTATCTCTTCCTTACTGATTTCCTGCATAGGTTCATAATCCTGCTTGGTCTTTCTGTACATAGCCCCAGCCTCAGTAATGGAATGCAGTTTCCTGCATCATGTTTTTTGAGAGAAGGCAGGCTGTAACTCACCGTCAGCTTTGATGAAATCACAGCAATGGCACAGTGCCCTTGGAAAAACTTCTGTATTCTCCCAGTAAAAAGTGGCTGAATATATGCTGGAGTAGGCTTTTCTATCAAGAAAACGTAAATATTCTTCTAACTGTGCCCATCTTATACTTTACATCAGAGTATTTCCTGAGGCTCTTGCCAGCTTTTCTTTTGTTTCACTACTTCTTCAGTCAATAAATCATCACAAATCTCATTTTTGTTTGTAAGTCCATTACTGTAGATATTAAAGGGCACCTACTACTGTGCTTCTAATAATACTGTGTCTTTTTTGTGGAAGCAAGTTTCCACTTAATGTTGAAAAGATCTGCCCAGAGCTTGAAAGGCTGTCTGACTTAGAGGATTGTGATTGGTGTCCTGGCAGAGGGGTTGGGTAGCCCTGGCATCCCTTCATTAAATCACTGGAGGCATTTTATATGCCAGCAAGAAAGGAAAGGCAATTAAAAGAAATAGGAAGGAGAGAGAAAGTGAAAAGAAGAGAGAAAACTAAACTAGACAAGGGTAAGATTGTTGCCTTTTCCATATACAGACTATGTTTTGCTAAAAATACAAGTTTAAATTCCAAGTCAATATCCCAGAGACTGAAGAAGAAGGTGAGAAGAGAGAAAATGCAAGTAGAAGAACTTGATCATCAAGCATGATCATCATCAAACCTAATTGCAATAATCACACCTTCATGTCAGGTTCTCTGAGATGGTGCAGCACACTTGGAATGCTCCTCTCCTCATGGGGTTGATTCATAATAATCCAGTGATCACCAAACCCCCAAATTCAGTGCTTGAATAAATCAGATTGTCCAGTCTATCTTCAGGACTAAAATCTCCCAGCAGCAATGATCCAAAAGCACAAACAGAATGTAATTTCTTAAATATTACAGGATTATCTTCCAGTTAACTCTGTAAGCCTTACCAAGTAGAGAAAGTGTTATAACATGTTTGGAAGATTTTCTGGTACATTTTCTAATGGCAAATCCAAATCACATGCCTACAGAGCTTAGCTTTAAACTTAATTACTAGCTAGGCAGAATTTGCTTGAGCTTCAAATGCAAATCTGGATTCCCATCAAAAAGCCCAGCTCTACCCTCAGCAATCAGTACAGCAAGAGAAAACCAGAGAAAATATTAATCCTATTCAACTCAATGCCACTGACTTTTCTTTCTTCTTGTCTTGACAAAATATGGTGATTTTGGGGAAACTGAAACTAATCTCAAAATTAAGCTGAACTTCTCCCAGATACATTTTCTGTCCTTAATTCTGCAAATTTCAGAGTGACTTTACCTGCTTAAAACTGTTCAATTGTTGTTGAAAAGAATCATAGAATTGTTTAGGTTGATGAAGACCTCTAAGATTACTAAGTCAAACAGTTACCCCAGCACTGCCATGCCTGTCACTAAACCACTCCAAGTGTCACAGCTACACATCCTTTAAACCCCCCTGAGATGGTGACTCCACCACTGTCCTGGGCATCCTGTTCCAATGCCTGACCATCCTCTCAGTGAAGAAATTTTTCCTAACATCCAATCTAACCTTCCCCTGGTGCAACTTGAGGTAATTTCCTCTTGTCCTATCACTTATTTGGGAAAAGAGACTGACTGTCCCCTCACTACAACCTCCTTGCAGGTAAATGTAAGAGAATGAGAAGGTTTCCCCAAGCCTCTTTTTCTTGAGGCTACTTCAAGCCACTTCCTCAGCTTCCTCAGCTCTTCTCATCAGACTTGTTCTTTAGACCTTTCACCAGGATAGATCTGATGCTCTTCTGTGACTTTACACCATAAGAAAAACATCCTTGGGACACTGAAAACTGAGCCTGCAAAAAGCTCAGGCCTTTGCAGCAGAAACACGAGGCATTAATTGTGGTACAATTAACACTGCAGCAGCACCAGCCACTGCAGGTCACAGCATTTTTCAGTGTCTCAGTTAATGGTTACAATATTTTATACTTTAGACTGAGGTACCCTTTTGTTCACTGATGAGTTTGTGGTGCAAGCATCTCCAGACATGACGTCTGTGAGCAGTTTCCATGCTGGGGGTCTGCCCAGAACAGGGTCAGTGCTGCCTCCTGCACTTGAAAAGGACCATACTGCTGAGCTTATCTGTACCTAATGGCAAACTGTCTTCCAGTTTGCAAATGTGCACTGAGAACCAAGAAATTAGGGTGAAATTCTGCATTTCCTCTTCCCTTCCCTTCCCTTCCCTTCCCTTCCCTTCCCTTCCCTTCCCTTCCCTTCCCTTCCCTTCCCTTCCCTTCCCTT